CCCCAAAATGTCTGTAGTAACCAGATTGAGAAACACTACTTTACACTGAGCTCATATTTATCTATTTGGATTAGAAAACATTCCCAAATTAACCATACCCAACTTGAGCATGCCTTTGCTTTCATTACCCAAGTGTACAGAGTACTCTAAATTAACTTGCATGTTAAGGTCATAGAGTCTGAGGATCAGATAGGATTTTAAAAGTCTAATTACTGCTGGGCATGGTGATGCATGCCTATAATTCCAGTAGCTTGGGAGGCTGAGGCAGGAGGATGGAAAGTTCAAAGCCAACCTCAGTAACTTAGTGAGGCCCTAGGCAACATAGCCCTATCTCAAAAATAAAAAATAAAAAGGGCTGGAGATGTGGCTCAGCATTTAAGTAACCCTAGGCTCAATCCCTGGTATAAAAAAAAAAAAAAAAAAAAAAAAAGTCTAACCGCCTCTCTATCAGCACTGCTTCATAATAACTGTTACAAGTGAAAATGTTGTCTTTCCTCAACTAGGTTACAAATAATTCCATTAAATACTTTTTATAATACTTCCATTATAATCCTCTTAAATGTATTCCACAAACATTTATTGAGTATCTACTGTGAAACAAGCATTTGGGGATATCATGAAAAATAGGCATTAACCCTGTTCTTGTGGCTCTTATGAGGGATAGATTTTTTCTTATTGTTTGTGCAAAAATGGCCCAAACTGAATTCAACAGTCAATGCACAGGCATATTTCATTTGCATCTTCAACAACAAAAGGTATCCAACACTACAGAACTAAATAGGAGTACTAGCTTCAATAGCAGCTGTTAAGCACTGAAGTCCTGCAAGTTACACCACAATGGGCAAATATTGCCAAGTAAAATTCTAATGTTAAAGCTGAAACAGGTTCAAGGCCATTCAAGTTCAAGCATAGTTACACAAATCTTTTGGAGTCTTTCTATGTGTGTTTGCATTATGTGACCTTTCTACTAACTTGAGGTCTTAAACTTCTGTTTTGGAAAATCCAAATGGAAAATTCGACAGAAGAAATCAATGCAAAGGTTACATTAAATAAGAGCAACACACAAAGCTACAATCAAGATTAAGCAAGAAAAGTCAAAACATTACAAATTGTAACACTAAGAGTTAGGAAATATATACAAATATTTTCAAGTAGATTACTTCTTATGTTGCTCTAACATGTCCTTTTCCTAGTGCACTGTTAGAACTAATCATCACCTCTACACAAGTATATTCCCTTAAAATAGCAATACATTCTATTGCTACCTACAAAGCCATCAGTCTCAAATGACTTAGTGAAGAAAAAGGAAACAAAAAGAAAATAAGTAACATATTAAGGAGAAATTGCAGAAATTAGTAAATTTATGTAGGTCAGCTCTTTAAATCAGCCAGCCAGCTTGCTAACAAGGGATGGTTTCCATTAAGGAAGGTCCTATAGAGTGAGAATGTGGTCACCAGTCACCTCTGTCTTATCCGGGGCTGCCGGAGGAAGTTGCTTGTTCTTCATCTTTGCTTTTGCCATGTTGTAATCCCCAGAATTAAAATATTTTTACCCTTTCTGCAATCATTTTCTTAAAAAAAGATCAGCCGCCAGGCTTTTGGCTCAGGTGAGAAAACCTTGCTTTTAATTTTGCTTATTCAGCTTTCTCTAGACTAGTCGCTTATCTTCCATTTCCTTCTGCTCCTCTGCTGAGGCTGCCTGGGGACTTCCATGGACATAGGCCTCCCCGTGAGTAGCCCCAGTCCTCTGTCTCTGTAACCAACTTAAGGAAAAAAAAAATCACATAATTTATATTGTGGATGCTCCAACAGGAAGGATATAGTTTACCTAATAATAAGGGTGCCTCAGATCTAATCTAGGACATCAGACAAGGCTTTGCTGAAACTGGGACATTAAGCACATATTAAGCATTCAGTCAATATTTATTGAATAAATAAAGGTAAAATCTGATCGAAGTAAAGTATGCAGAGGCAGGAGGAAGACAGCAGGAGCCATATGGCCATAATGTGCTTGAGGTGCCTGTGATCCAAGTACACATCTGGATCCCAGATCGGGATCCTGGAACCAAGACCAAGAAACTCCAGCTTCGACATGAAAGTTAGGAAGAAGAGGAGCCAACAAGAGACAGGCGATGAGAGGCCACAGACTTTAAGGCAGATAGCAGGAAAGAGGATATCAAGAAGGAAGCTTTTCAAGAAGCAAGGCCGGCTAGCTTGCCAGAGTAACTGAGGCCTCTTCTCTCACTGCCCACATTTTGGAGTTGGGGAGTGAGCAGCCTGGACAGATACAGGCATTCTATATTGTGAATGAGCTTCTACTTTTGCATTTTGACCCCCAGCCTCACCCCATAGCTGGGGATCTAACCCAGGGCCTTATGCATGCTAGGCAAACACCATACCACTGAGCTATATCCCCAAGTCTCTGCTTTTGCTTTTTTCTCGAAACACTTAATAAGTTTTATTGAAAATGATAAAATACAGAAATACCAGATTCTCATTTTCAAGTAAAAATGCAGTATCTTCCAAAATTTTCCTAGTATTGCATCAAAAAAATAAAACCAAGTTCTATATCCAAAATAACAAAGGAATGCACTGGTAAATTTTTCTCATGGTTCTAAGCCCTGACCTTAGTTAACATTTTTTAAATAGCATAAAATTTTTCTTCCTGGTAAATTTTTCTACTTCAAAGTTAACCACATTGACTTAAGTCATCAATCAGATTTTTGTGTGTGTTTTTTTTAATATTTTATTTACATTTTAGTTTTCGGCAGACACAACATCTTTGTTTGTACGTGGTGCTGAGGATTGAACCGGGCCGCACCCATGGCAGGAGAGCTCGCTACCACTTGAGCCACATCCCCAGCCCCTTTTGTGGTTGTTTTAATTTATAACCTTCATATTTATAGACTTTAAAAGGTAAACTCAACCTACTTTTAGATCCCTTTTCAGTTGTCACAGTATACCCATTCAGTGTGTCAATAAGGGTTTGGAGTTAATATCTCAGTGGCTTAATTAACAATAGATGCATCTGGCAACATACAATTCTATCTTGATTATCTATGCCAATTAGAGGTAAGAATAGCATGAATAAAATTAATGGAATCTAACACCCCAAGTTTAGCATGTTTTTCTAACCAAAATTTAATTTTAAAAAAATTACCAAATATCACAAATATTATAGTAATCTTATGCTTGGTTTCCTTTCATCCCAGTTCATAAGGGGTGAAGATGCTATAAACCATCTAAAGTGTAGATAAAGAATAAGATGCCCAGACAACCCAGAAATTTATAAATCAATTCCTCCATAATGTTAACTGTAGCTACCTCTTATTGTTTAAACGAGACCCACCAAGAGTAATTGAATTTCCGATTCTTTTAGAATGAGCATCACTGAGTATTTAGCCACCATAAGAAATGTGAGATGAAGACACTGCCTTGCTCTCAGGGGACTTGACCTCTACAGTGAGACAATAAGCTCAAAGGCTGAATGCAGAAAATCTGAGCCACAAACAAAATGGTGAAAGCACAGAGGAGGGAGGAAGCCGCTGCAGCTTGTGTGCAGTGGCTTGTCGATGTGACAAAATACTGAGAAAAATCAACTTAAAGGAGGAAAAATTTATTTGGCTCATGTTTTTGCAGGTTTTAGTCCATGACCAGCTGACTGCCTTGCTGTGGGCCTGAGGTAAGGTAGAACATCCTGGCAGAGCACAGGGTAGGGCAAAGCTACTCACCTCCTGGAAGCAGAGAGAGAAAAAAAGGAAGGGTCTAGGGACAAAATATACCTTTCCAGAGAATACCCCCCCAGTGACATACTTCCTTCAACCAGACCCCACCTCCCACAGTTTCTGCCACCTTCCAATAGTCCACTCAATTATGAACCCATCAATGGATTAATCTATCCATGAAATCAGAGCTTTCATGATCCAATCACTTCCCCAAAGGCCCACCTCTGAATATTGATGTATAAGGGGCAAGCCTTCAACACACGAACTTTTGAGGGACATTTCAGATCCCAACCTAACATGTGGCAACTGGGGAAGGAAGTGAATTGGGAAGGCTTCAGGGAGGATGAACAGAGGTAAGGGAAGAGCATTCAGGATAAAGGAAGCGCATGAGCAGGGCCTTTCAGTTACCTACCAGCCTTAAGTAAGACTTGTGGTTAATTAAGCTGAAAAGCGCAGGCACGTGAAACAAATGTAGGAAGAGTGGATAGGAAAGTCTGTTAGATTCAAAACATGGAGGGTCTTGCAGGTCTTGAGTATGGGTTAAATGTATTCAAGTTTATGAGAACTAAAGTATCAGAACTGATTTTGTGAGTTAGAAATAAAAGCAATGTAAATCATAGGCCAAGGATAAAAGAGACTGGAGATAGAGAAGAGTCCACTAGGAAGTTATTAAAATGATCCAGTTCAGGGCTAGGGTTGTAGCTCAGTGGTAGAGCACTTGCCTAGCATGTGTGAGGCACTGGGTTTGATTCTCATCACCACATATAAATAAATAAAATAAAGGTCTATCAACAACTAAAAAAAATAATGATCCAGTTCAGAAGTGCCCAATGTGTTCCAGGGAACATTGAAACTCCTCAAAAGAAAAAGACCAGTGGCCAGGCATGGAGACACACGCCTGTAATCCCAGCGGCTTGGGAGGCTAAGGCAGGAGGATCATGACTTCAAAGCTAGCCTCAGCAACAGTGAGGCGCTAAGCAACTCAGTGTGATCCTGTCTCTAATAAAATGTGAAATTGGGCTTCGGATGTGGCTTAGTGGTTGAGTGCCCCTGAGTTCAATCCCTAGTACTTGGAGAGCTATAATGCAAATTAGCACATAAACTTGCTTTTGGAACCTGGTTTGACCCAATGTGTCCCAACTTATTAGACCAAAGCATCACTGTTGTTGCTGTTGTTGTTGTAAAATATCTATTAATACTGACCAGGACACTAAGGTTAAATGGGATATAATCTATGAAATGAGGTTCAGGTAATAGATGATGAAATTCTAAACTAGGGGTCGGGCGCGTTCTGAGGGTGCCGGGTGAGGGACTCCCTCCGCGGTCGGGAAGCCTCGGAGGGCCTGGGGAGGGCCGGTCTGCACGGCGGCCCCTCCCCCACGCCCGGCAGACTCCTTGTCCCGTGAGCGGTCGCTGGACCTGCGGCGCGCCCCTGCCCAGGCCGTCCCCCCGCGCCCGGCGACCTCGGTGGCGAAGCCTGGCTACCCTTGGTTTCCCCCGTTTTCTCGGGTCCTGAAGAGTGAAGACCTAAATCCAAGGTCATGGCAAAGCACCTGAAGTTCATTGCCAGGACTGTGATGGTACACGAAGGGAACGTGGAAGGTGCATACAGAACCCTGAACAGAATCCTCAGCATGGATGGGCTCATTGAGGACATTAAACGACGAAGATACTATGAGAAACCTTGCCGCAAGCGACAGCGGGAAAGCTATGAAACCTGCAGGCGGATCTACAACATGGAAATGGCTCGAAAGATCAACTTTTTGATGCGAAAGAATCGGGCAGATCCATGGCAGGGCTGCTGAGACTCGGATAGAAGGCCCACATCCAGTTTGTCTCCACCTGTTTCTCTATAATAAACTCAAATCAACTATATGCAAGAAAACTTGCATGTAGAGAAGCAACCCCACTGGTCAGCAGTAGACTTTCTTATTAAGTGAAAGAGAAACAGTCCAAAAGTAGTCTAGGAGTAGAATGGTGGTGGTTAAAGGATAGGGAAGGGGGCTATCAGCAATTGTTTAATGTCAGTTTGCAAATCTGAAAGCATTCTGAAGATAGATGGTGATGATTGCCAAAAAAAAAAAAGTTAATGTACTTAATGCCACTGAATTACACACTTTAATAGTTTTAAAATGGTAATTTTTGTAAAAGTATTTACAATATGTTTAATTCTAGGGTATGTAAGGAAAATTTACAAACTCTGGTGGGACATATACCTACCATACCACTTTTATGAACCCTAAAGCAAAATCTTATTGGAAAAGCATCAGTTACTTTTTACTGAGCTACTCCCCGCATCCCTGTGCAACCATTGAACAAAGACGAGAGGAATTATTTATGTATTTGGAATAAGTCTGCTTCCAAAATACCTTAACAGTAGGCTGGAGTGATGGAATCCTTGCCCAGAGCAATAAAAGACAAGTTTAACATCAAAAAAAAAAAAAAAATTCTAAACTAGGACATAGATATAGCAATCAGATCTATATTTGGTATTATAAATCTTGGAATGTTTTCTGCATGATAATTTCCTCTATTCAGCCATTTCTTTTTATTGTCTATACATAGGAAAAACCAAAGATGAGAATTTGGGGGCCACACCAGGAATTAGAAATACTAGTACTGCTAGTTAGGAAGGGAGTGAGATGAAGTCTAAAGAGAAGAGAATTGGTTGAAAGATGGGTCGAAGGAGCTCTCTAACACTAGTTCTACCACAACTCTGTAAAACCAAGTGATTTTCCTTTTCCCCAACCCTACAGAAAACAAGAAGCTTAATTTCTGGAGATATGGAACTAGAGAGGTTGTTGGCTTAGAATACTTAGCACAGTACAAAGTGGGATATTGATGAAAAGAGATGAATTAAACAAAAACTTCTGGGCTGGGGTGTAGCTCAGTTGGTAGAGTGCTTGTCTCACATGCACAAGGGCCTGGGTTCAATTCCCAGAACCACCGAAAAAAAAAAAAAAAAAAAACTTCTACAATCCTCAACCATAGTAAAATTGGCCAATCAACAAACTCTATACAGACACACAAACTTCCCATCAGCTTTAGTGTTTCATCCCTCAATCTGAATGAATAGTCAAGGATTACTAGACATACGTGGAAATCTTCCTACATCAAAGACAGAACCAGATCAATGAATGAAACATAATATGTCAATTTTGAACACAGATGTCAGGTCATGAAAAAATAACATTCATAGATTAAGAAAATAATATTATAAATGTAACAATCAGAAGGAAAAAAAGATAAACACATAGTGAATAAACAAGATAGCCCAAAATAAAAACCAATATAAATAAATATGCTAAAAGAGACAGGAGCAATGGTGTACACCTATAATCACAGTGATTTAGGAGGCTGAGACAAAAGGATTGCATGTTCGAGGCCAGCCTCAGCACCTTAGCAAGACCCTTAGCAACTTAGTGAAAAATAACAAATAAAATAAAAATAAAAATTGCTCAGTGATAAGCCACCCCTGGTTTCAACCCCCAGTGCCCAGTATATATATATATATATATATATATATATACACTAGAAGATTCAAGTAAGGATCATTTAACATAAACAACAAATGATAAAAAAATTAAAATACAATACCTTATCCTAGGTGAAATAAACACATGAAAAAAGTTATCCTTTGATTTTTCTTAGGAAAAAATAAGAAAACGAGAAGATCCCATACTAACATAGGATATCCTAAAAGAAAAAAGAGCCTAATGAGAAGAGAATTATAAGAAAATCAAACACTTCTACAAGAGAAGATCCAAATTAAACAGGTCAACTGAATGACCCATTCTATGGATTTAAAAAATGTAAAAACAGCTGATCATGACAGAACATGCCTGTAATCCCAGTGGCTTGGGAGGATAGGGCAGGAGGATTGCAAATTCAAAGGTAGCCTCAGCAATTTAGCAATAACCTGTCTCTAAATAAAATATTAAAAAAGGGCTGAGGATGTGGCTCAGTGGTTAAGCACCCTGGGTTCAATCCGGAGTACACACACACAAAAAGTGAAATCACATAATTGTGAAATTTCAAACATCAAGGGAAAAAGAGAAATAAAGTGGTATGCAGTTCCTGTCTTAGGTTAAGTATTACCAGAAGCATACCTTGAATCTAGGATATGAGTACAAGTCTAGGATATGATCCAAAAGAAATATTAATAGAGAAATGKTAAGTAAGACATGGGAAAAAAAGAATCTTTAATGTACAAGGTGCTACTGTGGGCAACTAAGGCTAAGTCCCACGGGACTCTGGGAAACTATGGAAAACACACCTCAAAGTTGTCCCACCCAAAGAAGACTAACCACTAAGTCCTTTCCTCATTTTTTGAGGGCTACTATGAAGGCATCAAAACATCAAACTCCTAGGACTAAAGAAAGGCCTACATGGAGCTTTGTGAGCACTTCAAGTAAGAATCTTTCACACATAAGGAATGAGTCTTGTGAAGAAGCTATAGACAGGGAAATAAGGGCATCTACTTTTGTCACATACAAAGAAATCAAAATGGTATCAGATTTCTGATAGCATCCTCAGATGATAGAATACAAGGAGCAATGCCTTTAAAATGCTTAATGATATGGTCAACGAAAGCAAAGATAGATAAATGGGATAATATCAAACTAAGAAGCTTCTTCTCAGCAAAGGAAACAATCAACTGAATGGGAGAAAAATAGCGGTAAACTATTTGTACAAAAGAAGATGGATATCCAAAATATATAAGGAACTAAAAAAAACTCTAGAGCAAAATCATCACCATCACCATCATCCAATTAAAATGGGCAAGTGATTTGAATACACATTTCCTAAAAGAAGATATACAAATATCTAACAAATATATAAAAAATGCTCAATATCACTAATTATCAGGAAAATACAAATCAAACCCCATTGAGATATCATCTCACTCTAGTTAGAATAGCTATAATCAGTAAGCCAAAGCAAAAGATAAATGTTGGCAAGGTTGTGGAGAAACAGGAACTCTTACATTGTTGGTGGAAATGTAAATTATAACAGTCATTACAGAAAACAGTATGGAGGCTCCACAAAAAAACTAAAATAGAGCTACCATATGATTCAACTATACCACTTCTGGGTATATATCCTAAGAAAATGAAGTCAGTATATTAAAATGATATCTGCACTCCTAGGTTTATTGCAGCGCTACTCACAAAAGCCAAGATATGGATTCAACCAATAAGAACATCAACAGATAAATGTACACACACACACACACACACACACACACACACAGTGGAATATTATTCAGCCATTAAAAAGAAATGAAATACTTTTATTAGCAGCAAAATGAATGAAACTGAAGGATGTTAAGTGAAACAATCTAGAATAGAAAGACAAATAACACATGTTCTCATATGTGGAAACTGAAATTTTTTATTTCCAAAAAGTAGAAAGTAAAGCTGTGCATGGCAGCTCATGTCTATAATCTCAGGAGGGGAGGCTAAGGCAGGATAATCATGAATTTGAGGCCAGTATATACAACCTAGTGAGACTCTTATCTCAAAATTTAAAAATAAAATATAAAATCTGAGGATATAGCTTCATGGCAGAGTGCTTGCATGTGTATGGCTCTGGGTTTGATCTCCAGAACCACAAAGAGAAAAAATTAGAGAGAAAAATAGTGATCACTAGGAAAGGGGAGAGGGTTTGACAAAGATCCATTAATGGGAACCAAAATACATAGGAGGAGTAAGTTGTGTTCTACAGCACTTTAGAGTGACTATGGTTTATAACAATTGTTTGTCTACTTTATAAAGAACTAGAAGAAAGAGCTTCAAAAGCTCAAAGATTCTCAAAACTGTCATGTTCCTCACAGTCAGGGTCACTCCAAGGGAACTGGGCCACATGAAATAACCACACAAGAGACAGAAATACCTTTTTCTTTGGGGTCGCTGCGACAGCTCCTCTGACCTTAAGGATCCTCAGAAAGAGAGAGGAAGAGCRCCTGTGCTGACCCCTTTTATTGAGGGAAGCTATTCAAATGAGGCAAGGGGTCAGGTTTCAAGGGGCTGAGTCTAGCTTCATGATGTCCACTGTCAGCAGGTTGACTGACACCTGGRTAGGCCACACCCAAGGGCAGAGTAAGAGAAGGGGACACACAAAAGGTGTTTCCATGGAACATTCTATCCCAAACAGGGCAAGGGGTGATATCATAAAGGAACAGGTGAGCGTAACTCGACCCATGGGGCTGCAGGAAAGCGTGCCTATTCATTAAGACACATTTGGTTGCATTTTTACTACTCTCAAGATGGGGGCTACCATCTTCAGCTACTTAAAAGTGGTCAGATCAYGGGGAGCSACCAACAGTGCCTCAACCCATCAGGAGAGAAAAACGCTGGTCACATGATGTGATGGGCTCCCACACAAAACAATGATAAATATTTAAGAAGATGGAAGTGCTAAGTATGCTGATTTGATCGTCATACATTGTATACATGTACTGAATTACCACATTGTACCTCATAAATATGCATAATTAAAAATAAAAAATGGCTCAGTGAAATAACACATACCTGTAATCCCAGCAACTGAGGAGGCAGATGCAGGAGGATCCCAAATTCTAGACCAATCTGAACAACCTTGTAAGACTCTGTATCAAAATAAAGAGGACTTGGGGTGTTGCTCAGTGGTAGAGTGCCCCCAGATCCACCTGACAGTATCGCAAAAAAATAAAATACATGGGCTGGGGATATGGCTCAAGCGGTAGCGCGATCACCTGGCATGTGTGCAGCCCRGGTTCGATCCTCAGCACCACATACAAACAAAGATGTTGTGTCCACCGAAAACTAAAAAATAAATATTAAAATTCTCTCTCTCTCTTTAAAAATAAATAAATAAATAAAAATAAAATACAAATAAATAATAAAATTAAAATTTATTTATTTTTAATTGATTTTAAAATAAATAACAGCAGAATACATTACAATTCTTACTACACATATATACCACAATTTTTCATATCTCTATTTGTTTATAAAGTATGTTGACACCCAATTCGTGTCTTCATACATGTATTTTGGATAATGATGTCTATCACATTCCATCATCCTTGCTAATCCCCTGCCCCCTCCCTTACCCTCCCACCCCTCTGCCCTATCTAGAATTCATCTATTCCTCCCATGCTCCCCCTCCCTACCCCACTATGAGTCAGCCTCCTTATATCAGAGAAAATATTCTGGCATTTGTTTTTGTGGGATTGGCTAACTTCACTTAGCATTATCT